ATCCAAGGCAACCTAGTTCAACCATAGGAACTTCCAATGAGCAAGAAATAGTTCATGTCTTTGAAATAATGAACCAGTGAAAGATTCAGTGCAAGAACCACGACAAGCTCATTCAATGACTCCTCGTTCCCAAACTAGTGTTCGGAAACTAAACCCTAAATATGCATTGCATGTTGTTACTAATAACAACCTTGTTGAACCCATTTGCTTTAGTCAGGTTGTAAAACATTAGGAGTGGAGAGATGCAATGGTAAAGGAGTTCAATGCACTGCAGCGTTGTGGGACGTGGAGTTTGGTGCCCTATCATTCCTAGATGAACTTGTTTCCAAACAAATGGGTTTATAAAATAAAGCGTCGTGAAAATGGTTCCATAGAACGTCATAAGGCAAGGTTAGTAGCCAATGGCTTCCATAAAAAACGAGGGATTGACTACACTGAGACTTTTAGCCCAGTTGTCAAACATAGTACTATTCAGATGGTTCTCAGTCTTGCAGTGTCGAATAAATGGCATGTTCGTCAACTGGACGTCCAGAACGCCTTTTTACATGGCTATCTGGCAGAAGAGGTGTACATGAGACAGCTAGCAGGGTTTGTCGACAAGTAACGCCCAACTAATGTTTGTAAACTGCAGAGAAGTTTGTATGGTTTAAAACACGACCTCGTGCTTGGTTTAAGAGGTTTTTTGAATTTTTACTTCATTTGGGTTTTCAAGGGTCAAAGTGTGACTATTCATTATTTGTGTTCAATCACCGTGGTGTTTATTTGATTCTTTTGATCTACGTAGACGATATTTTGCTGACAGGGAATAGTCCACTTCAAATGAATTTTAAATCAATAAGCTTGGTACGTTGTTTTCGATGAAGGATTTAGGGCCTCTTCATTATTTTCTTGGTGTTGAAGTAACATATTCCAACAAAAATATGCATCTAGATCAGTCCAAGTATGCTCTTGATCTCTTGAAATGCACTAAATTCATGGATGCTAAGCCTATCTCTACCCCAATTCCCTGTGGACAAAAGTTGAGTACTTGGGATGGTGAGACGCACAGTGATCCTCAAACTTACAGAATTATTGTTGGTGCCTTGCAATATTTGACGATAACAAGGCTAGATTTGTCTTATGCTGTTAACCAGGTTTGTCAATTTATGCGTTCCCCAAAATATACTCACTGGATGGCTATTAAAAGGATTCTGCGTTATGTGAAAGCAATGTATGATCATGGACTGATGTATAAACCAGGAGGAATGCAACTCAGTGTTTTCTCAGATGCGGATTATGCCAGTGATCCGGACACGAGACATTTGACTGGTGTTTTTTGTATTTATTTGGGTTCGAACTTAGTTTCATGGAGTTCAAAGAAGTAGAAGACAGTGTCTCGTTCTAGCACTGAGGTCGAATACAGACAGCTTGCGTACACTGCCGCTGAATTATCTTGGTTGCGTTCGTTATTCAGGGACTTGCAACTCAATCTTGCTTGTCCTACGATTTGGTGTGATAATATTTCCTCAATTTCTTTGGCGTCTAATCCAGTTTTTCACTCAAGCACTAAGCACTTGGAAGTTGATTATCATTATGTAATGGAGAAGGTGGTTCATGGAGAGTTGCTAATGAACTTCATATGTTCCCAAGATCAAGTTGCAGACCTATTTATGAAAGGTTTATCTCCTGCACGTTTCAAAATGCTGGTGTCCAAGCTTCCAGTCGTTTCTCATCCTGTTAGCTTACGGGGGGATGTTAGACGAAGTCAAGTTTCCTTTTCAAACATAAACTCTTCAGTTGGTTTACTCAATCAACAACACTTATCAAGTGGAGCTTCTGTTAAAATCATAATTAGTTATAGTATTTGAATTTCAAAATGTAAGCTTGTAAATAGGGTTTTTGAAATCCTGATGTAATCTGAAAAGTGATTATAAAAAGGTTGCTCCCTGCAATGTTGAGGGCATGTAATCATAGTGAAAAACCTTATGTAGTCTTATAGCTTTCCTGCGTGTTTTACCTTCCCTGCAATCCTAGTTCTTTTACTTCCATCTCTGGTGAGCCCAATTAAATCACCCATTTACTATAAGCTTCGCAGCAAGTCGCCAGCAGCCATAATGCTCCCTCAACAGCCCTCTATCTCTCCTTCACTCTGTAAACATAGAGGTAGCACCACCACCACTTAACCTTTCGAACTCTGGCGAGTTCTCGCCGTTCATGGAGAAGGTGAGCCTCGAAAATCCCTAAAAACTTCTTAATTCTTGTTTTGATGTATGATTAGGGAAATTTTGAGATGTTTTGGCGACGTTATGATGCAGAAATGCCCCGAGGAAAGCTTCCTTAGTTTTTCGGCAAGAGATCCGGCAGCTTCGAACCATTTTTTGGCTGATCCCAACCATAGCTCAATGTGATTTTGGTATAAAATCTTCTTTCCCTAAGATTCAAATCCATATATTATGTGTTGAAAATAGTTGAGAAATCAATATGATCAGATTTTATTTTGTTTTTCAACAAATATTTCCAGAATCTGGCCTTCTTTTGCATTAGGTTCGATAGATGCTCCATGCTAGCCTAATCAGATCCAACCCAACCCTATTAAAGAAAAAAAAACCCCAAACCAAGAACCAACCTAAACCCTTGACCCGTTAACCCTAACCTGGATCCGACTCAAATCTATTCAGACTTTTGGGGGAATATTTTGTTAACCGTCCAGTTAACTTTAACAAAACAGTCCGTTAAAGTTAACTGTTGACCGTTAGTTGACTTATTCGAAATTTTCTTGAAAACCACCCTAGACTAGTTTTTACGCCCTGAGAGTCCGTTTTTGACATCCATTTTGTGAAATTCTGAAGTTTTAACGTAGTTGACCACCTGGGCAGCTTGGTTGACTTTTTACAAAAATTTCTCAAAACCCTTCTTAGCATATTTCAATGCCCTGAGTCCCAAGTTTAATCATTTTTGTTGAGTTTTACTAATGGGTCCCAATATATGCTTAGGTGCAATTATTATTGGAGACTTCGACTTTCCTAGTTTGAGCAGCTACGATCTTGCAAGTATCTGTGAGTGTCTTTTCTTTTATATAGTGTGTGTGTGTGTGTGTGTGTGTACATATATATATATATATATATTTGTTTGTTTAGTTTCCACGTATATATTTAATCTCGTTCACATCATGTGTAAATTGGCTTCAATCCCGCTCATATGTGTACTCTTCCACTTAGACACTTTAGGTTTAAATTTATTCACATTTTCCACCTCACTACACTTTATGGTTTTGTCACCCTTTGGGTGTCGACCAGCACAGCTCGATTTAGAGTCTAGGTGGACATCCCGAGTCGGAGTATGTCAATAATTGGAGCAATGGTCATGAGGTTTAGCTTATTTGGAGCTTTAGTCCCTAATCTAAAAATCTTTGAGTATTAGTCCCTGGCTTGTTATAATATGGAGCAATTGTCCTTTTGGTTAACTATTTTAGAATTTTCATACATATTTTGCCCCTTTAAACTCTCTAATTAGCATGGAATAATTAACAATGTTATGTATAATGATCATTGCTCCACATTGTGACAAGTTTAGTGTCGAAGACTCATGAAATTTTAGTTTAAAGACTAATAATCCAATTGGGTCAAAGTTCATGGCAATGTTCTCATTAAATATAGAAAATTTTGAACATGTTTTCCCTTTTCGTTCTTTAAAACTCTCTTTCTGAAACACAAACCAAGGAAAGTTTTGCCGCCGGCCATAGCCTTTTGCTAGAATGCCGGAGGCAACCACCCCTTATTCCTACCCTTTTTTTTCCCTCTCTTCTCTATTTCCCCAAGTTTTTCTCAATTTCCCTTTCCTTTGCCCTTTACCTCTTTTCCTCCTCTCTCATCTCCTTTACCTCTTCCCCTTCCCTGCATCCCATCTCTTCATCCTTCCCATTTTCCAGTTTTCTCCCTTCTTTTTTATGTCTTAGTTCTCCTCTGAGTTTTATCTCAGTTTTCCTTGAGCCGAATGTCAACTATCCCAGGCTTTATACCCTTTATCCAGCATATTTTGCCTGCTTTTACTTCTTTTGGTTTTTTAGTTTCCTACCTCCCTCTTCCATAGCTTTGATATTCCATCCCCACCCCATTATATGCTCAGATAGGCAGGCTTCGATCAGAAATTTGATATCAAATCCACTTCCCTCCATAACTTCCCCTCCCCCAACTGGCATGCCGGATCCTCACCGAGGCCAAGTGTTATGTGCCCTTCGTTATAGTAAGTATACGTACCCACTTAGCCTCACTTTATAAGGTACTTTGTTTGTATATATTTTCAGGGGTTCGTGATGGGAACTTGGATCTGGTGTTTACTCTCTCGGTTCAGAGTTTGCCTTCCTCCGATGATGTGGCAATGGCAACAGTCTGGTTTATGCTTGTTAAGATTAGGGTTTTTTGTTGTTTGTTTTTGCAGCCTTCGAGCTTAAGCTTGTATGGGTCCCCCATTGTATCTTCAGTTGCAACTCTCATGTTACTTGGGCCTTTCACTTTTTTTATTGTTGTTTACCTGGCTCTTTTTAAGCCAGTACAGGAAAAGTGAGTATTAGGGGCATTGTATTAGATGCGAAAATAAAAATTTGCCTCTAATAGTTTTCACTAGGGGAAAACCTGCAATTGTCTCTCTTAATTTAATAGGGACAAACAATAATTTGCTTCTATTAATTTTATAACTTTTAAGGAAGGAAAAACTGGCTTTACTTTGTTTAGCTATTAGAGGCGAATAAATTAGCCCCTGATTCAACTATTAATTATTTAAATTTAATTAATTTTTTATTAGGGGTGGATGTTTGTACTTTTTTTTTTTGTTTTCTATTTAAGGTGGATATGTTTAATTACAAATTAATGTTTACAAAAAAATAAAAATAAAAGATATTGCAATTGGCCCTTTATCACAGTGGTGAAAAAGGTGTTGAGCTCTTCTATGATGATGTGGGTTCGAATCTTGTCGTCGCTAATCTAAAATCTAATCTAATAAAATTTATCATTTGGCAAAAAACAAGATCTTATTATGTACTAGAAAAAAAACATCAATTATCTAAACCCTAATTCCAATATAAACCCACTTCCCCTCATTTTTCTCTTTTCCCTTCTTCAACTGCCGCACAACTCATCAGTTTTCCATTTTTCCTTCATTTTTCTTCCTCTTTCTCTTGTGCATATCCCAATCCGTCCTCTCTTTCTTTCATTCTTAGTACTTTTTTGTTGTCTATTACTCCTTTGCTAGTCCGGGATGACTGAAAGAAAGATTTGTCACAAAGAAGGTAAAACTCGTTTTATTTGGTTTGACTGAAGTTTTTTTTTTCCATCTTGAATTGTTTTGCAAGTACACTTCACGGGATTTTGAATAATTTAGAGTGGAAGAGAAATTCATGAATAGATTGGAATTGAAATATCATTTGATTGATAGTGAGAAAGAGATTCTCAAGAACTTTCAATTTTAGAAGTAATTGCCTTGTGTTAATATCTTTGTTTATCGGTTTTCTTATATGTTTAATTGATTGAAATTCAGGTTTGATTTTTCCAGTTTGTTCGTACAAATTATTGTATTTTGTAATTTGGCTTTGTTGTTCATTACGTTTTCTTTTCTGTTTTTATATAGGCTCATGTGCTACTGCAACATAAGAAGATAGACTCAGAGATCTGGTCTACAAAGCTCGAGATTGAAGGAATGGAGAAGATTGAAAGAAGAAAATGTTTTTTCATGTTTTTTTTTTTTTTTTAATTTATGTTGTTCTGAGATCTGGAAAGATGAAGATGAACCATGCTGGGTTTAAATATTTTGAATGATTCAAAACCAATAACTCATGTTTGGGTGGATTAATACATTTATTATCTTGTGGGTTTTTTTTTTATATAAATGAAAGTATCAGGAGCGGATGTATTTATTCGCTCGATTTATGATTTTTTTTTTATATAATTAAAAGTTTTAGGAGCAGATGCTTCTACCCGTAATTATGCGTGTTAATAAAACTTGCCCACATGGCAACAAAAACAGTAGGGACAGAAATTTGACATTTTTTTGCATCTAATAACAATAACAACGACCATTTTAGGGGCGAAACTACTTTTAGCCACTCCTTGTTACTGGTTGTGATTTTTTTCTATATATTTGCCCCTAGTGGGGGTTTTTAAAGGCAAATATTTCTACAATTATTAATTTGATTTCTTGTAGTGAGCCTTGTACTAGCTTTTAAAGTAATGGAAGCTCTCTTCTTGACCAAAAGAAAAAAAAATACATACATAGAAAAATTTAGAGTGCATACTAGGAATTTTAGAACGTCAATAATAAAATCCTTAAATTTCCTGTAATACAACATGGATAGTGTTATTAACACACTTATTTTTGCCTCCATACATCCTTGTTGATTTAGAGTAGGATCTCTCCCCTCCTATTAGGCCATCTCCAACCGAAGGGTTCAGAGGGCCAGAGGGCCGAAAATAGCCCGAAAACCGTCTCCAACCAAGGGCTAGGCCAGAGGGCTCGTGGAATCTGAGAGGGCCCCACGAAATCTGAAAGGGCTAGAAGGTTGCTGCAAACAGCCAACCAGCCATCCCGGGGCTGGCCAGAAAACTGATTAATAACCTACAGGAATTCTTAAAAAAAAAATTTGAATCCAACGGCTAGCTGACGTCAATTTTTTAAAAAAATCTATCCTTCAATTTTTTTTAATAATTTTGAAATGGCCTCGTCTGCAATGAAAGGTAGGGCTTAGACCCGAAAAGAAGATGAAGCTCTTTGCAAGGCTTATAAATGGGTGTCGAAAGATAGTGTGAGGGGGAATTGTCAAACAAATGATCGTGTTTGGACTCGTGTGTCCAAAAAATACTTAGAGTTCTATGAAGGCACCACTCCAGTGAATAATCAAAACCACGAGAGTTGTTCTTCAAGATGGAAGAAACATCTTATCCAAGTTTGAACAAATGGCATCAAGCATTGTTAGCAGCCACAAGTAAACATGAAAGCGGTGCTAATTACTACGATGAAGTAAGTGTTTTCACAATTTTTAAATATTTAATTATATTACATTTAATTTCATAAATTAATTTCCCTTATTTTTTTTCTAGGTACGCCAAGTGGAGGAATTGTATATGGAGGGCAGCTCGAAACCCTTTTAGTTTCACAGTTGTTGGGAAATTTGTAAAGAGTGGGTGTTATTTGAAGATCCACCATAGAGAGCTCCTACGCCGGTGTTCGGAACTGAATCCTCAGTTGCAGATATGGATGAAGATGAATCTCCAACCATTCGACAAATAAGGGTAGAAAATTCATCTTGGGGTGAAGGTTCCATACATAGGGTTATGAGACGAAACAAGGCACGAAGGTTGAAGGAAAAGGGCAAGGCAAATGATGATTACGCCACTCAACATGAAGTGGTGGCCTCATTGCGATTATTAGGCGGAAGAAAGGAAGTGTAGGCATCAAGAACCGGCCAAACAAATACAAGAAGAGATTGATGATAAGAATATGGAAAGGAACACTTCGAATTACACTCCAATGAGTAATGCTTATTTTGATAGAAAAAAAAAAAGAAATTATGAGCCGATGGCAGTTGTGTACCTCTGACTATACTCCTACGATGACGGATGATGAAGATGATGTTGATTATGGATATTAAATTTAAGTTGTTGTAGTTTTTAAATTTAAGTTAATGTTGTTTTCGAATTTAATTTGAGGTTTTTAAATTTAATTTGTCATTTTTAAATTTTAGTTGTAGTTTTTAAATTTAAGTTGTTGTTTTTAAATTTAAGTTGTTGTAGTTTTTAAAATTAAATAATAAATTATGTTTGGCCTTATGGCCCTCGGTTGGAGACAGTTTTTTGTGATAGGGCTAAAACTGATAGGTTGATTGGGATGCTTAGTGTGTGAGATTGAATGACATGTGTCTTTTTGTAATTGGTTGGGATATAGAGTTAGTTAGAATTGTTGATATTGGTATAAACTATAAATACCATATCGGAATGTAATTATATACATTGAGAAATAGAAAATGCAAAGTGTGAAAATTCGTTTGTCTCTAGTTTGTGTGAAAATTCGTTTGTCTCTAGTTTAACACACACACACACACACACACACACACACACACACACACACACACACACACACACACACACACACACACACACACACACTCTCTCTCTCTCTCTCTCTCTCTCTCTCTCTCTACATTTGCTTTCTGCAATACATCATTGTTGACATGGTATCATCGCCGATCGTGGCTACCGCCATTGATTGACGACCTGGTTGCTTCTGCTCGTCTAGTTGCTTGTTTACTGGTGTTGTCGTTTCTTTGCTCTGTTCGTCGGTGTTTCTAAGTCGGTGGTCGTTCGATTCACGTTGGTGCTAAAACCCTAAGATTTGGGGATTTTTGCTGCACAATTACGTGCTTACTTTGGTGTTTGTCACTGTCTATTGCAAGGTGTCTCTTCTTTCATCTTGTATTTGTTCATTGTGATTTTTATTATTCGATTTGATTCTGTGTTCAAGATTCACTGTTCTTCTATGGTTCTTGACTCTGTGCTATTGAAGTGTTGATTCTTGTTGTCTTTTGCTACACTTCTGTGATTTCTTAGTGGTTAAGAAACTTGATTGTTTACAATGGTAAACCCTAATCAATTAGTTCTTACTCGATCTACGATTTCTTCGTTAATTCCAAGTGTGGGTAATCAAGTGACAGTGAAATTAAATGATTCTAACTATGTTACCTGGAGCTTTCAACTAGATCTTCTCTTGGAAAGAAATGGCATCCTTGGGTTCATTGATGGCTTAATTCTCTATCCTTCGAAAATTGGAGCAGACAAATCTGTGGATGGTCTTGTTGATGCTACTGCAGTCATTTCTTATGCATACAAGATATGGAAGATTCATGATAAAGCTATCATGACTCTTATTGCTACTACTTTATCACCTTCTGCTTTATCTTGTGTAATTGGTTGTTAGAGTTCGAAGGAAATGTCGGATAATCTTCGTGAGAGATTTGCTAGTATCACTCGTACTAGTATTGTTCAAATGAAGATAGATCTGCAGAACATTAAAAAGGGGCCTGAGTCTATTGACAAATATCTTCAGCAAATTAAAGACTTTAAGACCAATTGGCTTTTATTGGAGTTACTATCTCTGATGAAGACATTGTTATTGTGGCTAGTTTACCCTTTGAATACAACACTATAAAAGTTGTCATTCGTGGCAGGGAGAGTTTAGTGTCTCTCAAGGAACTCAGGTCTCAATTGAAGGCTGAAGAGTCCACACTTGTTGAAGTTCACAAGCAAATTCCCTTAATGTTTGCTATGTATGCTCGGGGAGCTCATGCTCAATATGATCAAAGACAATCGTCTGGTTTTGTTGGGATGCAAGCTGACTCTTCTTTGGGGTATTCTCAGATGACTATACCTGGATTCTCCCTTTTACGAATGCCTGGATGTCATCATCAAATGCCTGTTCAAATGAATATGTCTGGTCATCAACCATTTGTTTTTCCTTCTTAGTATGCCTCTGGTTCCTTTAACAACTTTTGAGGTAATAATTTCAGGTCTAAAGGAAAGGGTAAAAAGTTTTATTCCGGTCATCTGCCTTCCCAGCAATCTCAGTATGGGGCTAATATTCCTCATAATGTTCCTTCTGTTGCATCACAACTTCGTTCAACTTACAACCCATTACAAATTTGTCAAATTTGTGACAAGAAAGGTCATTCAGCTCTTAATTGTTTTCAGAATAGTTGTCAGATTTGTCACAAAAAATGACATACTGCAGTTACATGTTTTGACATAAATGCTACTAGTTCTCCACAGTTTCCTATGACTGGTTTTTCTTCACAGTATCTTTCTTCTATTGGGAACTCACCTAGCTATTACTCTTCTAGACCTCCTCAATTTTAGCAAGCTCCACAATTTCAACCTTCTCAACCAGTTACTATGCCAGCCAGGGCAAACTTAGCTGTTAATGCACCTCAACAAGAGTTTTGGCTGCTTAATTCAGGTGCCACCAACCATATGACTTCTGACATCACCAATCTTCAAGCTGCAACTCCTTATCCATCACATGAGACAATCACTGGTGCTAGTGGTAAAGGTTTGAGTATTGTTCATATTGGCAACACTTTATTTCCTACCCAATCACATACTTTTCACCTTACTTCAGTATTACATGTCCTTCAATTCTCTCAAGATTTGTTATCTATGTATCAATTGTGTAAAGATAACACATGTCGATGTATTGTTGATGAGTATTCCATCTGTATATAGGACAAGGTCACAGGGAAAGTGTTATACCAAGGAGTGAGTAACAATGTTGTCTACCTAATTTCAGTTCTCAAGTCTTCCCGATTAAGAAGTCCTACTCCAACTATTTTTTTGGGTCAAAATGTGCCCTATGAACTCTGGCATCGTAGGTTAAGGCATCCTACAAATGTTATTACTGCTACAGCACTTAGGAATTCCTCCATTTCTGTTTCTTGTAATAAAGACTCCACTACTTGTATCCCTTGCTTACAAGGCAAATTTTCCAAATTACCATTCCTTACTAGTGCTTCAAAATCAATTTCTCCTTTTGAAGTCATCCACTCTAATGTATGGGGTCCTGCTCCAATAATATCTTTAGAATGGTTTAGGTATTATGTGTCATTTGTTGATGAATGTATAAGATATACATGGGTTTTCCTTATTATCAATAAAGCTGCAGTTTTATCTGTCTTTGCTCAGTTTATTGCTTATGTTCAAACTCAATTCAGTACTCATGTCAAAATACTCCAGAGTGATGGTGGAGGTGAATACGTGGGTTTAGCTTTTAAAGCCTTCCTTAGAGATAAAGGTATTGTTCATCAAATGTCTTGTCTATGCACCC